TAAGTGGATTGGGACAATAGTATTTAAACTTATCTCTGTGATGAAACTGGCAAAAATAAAATACCTGTATTTCCTTGCTGTAGTATAATGGAGAAGTCACAAGAGAGGAGAACCGATGATGACGACGTCACCTGGGGGAGCATTGAATTGCCAATGGAGCCAACGAACCATGAAGATCCCAGGGAAGGTAAGGACTTTATTGCCAGTGTGTTCATCACTAGCAAAGGAATGGGTGGTAAAAATAAGTTCACTGTGTGTGTGTGTCCACATGCAAGAGTATAGATATATACACACAGATATCATCCGTCTATGACTCAGCTTTATGTATATAACACTCATATGTGGATGTACTACTTATTGTGTATGTTACAACTGTTTATATGTATGGATTGTTATATGCATAAAGCTAAGTCATACACAAACCTCAGGGCTCATTTGTATAATCAGATATTTTCACAGTTGTAACTTAAAATAGTCAATGGCTTGGAGGAAGACATGCAAATAAATGTATAAATACTGTGAAAGGAATGACAAAGTTATAGTTTTGACGCTGTGGAATAAGAAATCCAGGAGCACATTTTATTTATAGATAGAATAGATAGATAGGTAGAATAACTTAAAAGAGGACCAGCATCATTTTTTCAGTTGCAATCAAGTCTGTCCTCCCCTTACTGCACCTCTCTCACTTTGTAACTGAGCCACTATCCAGTGTTTCCAGTTTCTTATTTCATGCAAGGGGACTTTATACTGAGGCTCAGAAGTTCATTTATATACAGTGAAATAGCCAGGCCAAATACTTGTTTATCTTGAACATAGAGCAATTTACAGCAAGAGAAGCAAAAAGAAGCAACTTAAACTCCTTTAGAAATTATAGGTAAGCGATCCTGAGGAATTTCTGATCAGTCAGTGCCATGTTTTAATAAACGTTGGGTGTAAGGTCCCTGCTGTGGCCAAGACTTTCTTTGGTTAATTCCAGTTAGCTGTCTATCTCCTGATTCTATGATTAATTAATTCTCTCATGACTAGAGTCCCACTTCCGTAAAAATAGACGGGGAGAGGACATGCACTTAGATCAGGTCATCTCTTGACTAAACCAGTGTTGAGGAGCCTGTGGTGCTTGTTTTTAAAGAATGCCCTGCGCTCTTGTTAGACCACCCTTTCCTGACCAGTGAGGAGCTCGCCGCTCTGCCTGTCGTCACGGCACTTCCCTCGGGCAGATACACGGGGGCCAGCTTGAAGGCAGTCGTTCGAACGCTGCGGGGCTTGCTCGACCAGGGAATTCCTTCTAAGGAGCTGGAGGTAAGTGCGGGGCACCAGTAGTTTCCCAAAACATTTATACCCTGAGGTGGAAAGAAGATGTCTTTTCACTAGCCCCAAGGTTAGTAAAAATTATGAAAATGTTGACCGTGTCTATTATCTTTCTAGCCCTGTTGTAGTTAACTTAGTTCCCACCACAGAAGTGCCATCCTGTCATATCTAGCAATAAATCCATTTTCCTAGTTAGGATTCAAGTCATCCTGACTTAAAGGAATGTCTTTAACCATGTGGAACTTGGTACATTTCCTTGAAGATTATTTTCCCTGCCCCATAGAGAAGGATAAAGAGTTAAAAGTTTAAATTAAATTTTAAAATCCAGTACCAATTCCAACTCTGCTTACGTTTCATTAATTAATGCACTATAAATGTAGTCCAATGGTGGCAGTAGCTTCATGTATATGAGTTGTTGAATGGAAGCTTTATTTGCCCTGTAAACCTTCATCCAATCCACAATAAAAAGGTAAAAAAACAACACCACCCAGTAATTTCATACACGTGAAAAGTACCAATGACACAGAGGCCTTGTTCCTTTGGTCTCTCTTGTACCACCCATCCTTGTTGCTCGGCCAAAGCAAAACAGAGCCCCACTCTGAAAGAGGGACTCACCTTCAAACTACCTGCTAGGTGGGCCACTTCTTGAACTTTGAGTTTCAGACAGAGATTATTGTAAACTTGATTATATATATATATATAAAATGTGATAGATACTTGGTCAGTTGACCTCCCTCTTGACCCAGCCTGAATTTGCTCTGGGATCAAATATTGCTCACTTGTACCACCACAGAAATTTCTACTCCGCCTTTTCAAATATTGTTAGTGGTCTTTTCTTTCTTACTCTTTATTGTTATTTTTATCTTTATATTTTTTTTTCTTCTTTCGGTTTCATTTTGTTTTTTGGTGTTTCTATTACGTTCCCTAGTTTATGAAGCACAGCAGTAGGTGCAGAGAGACAATCACTTTATCAGGATGGGGATGCGGAGGGTGAGAGGAAATGGGGAGCAAACAATGTGGGAAGGGGAGGGAGCACTAGAACTATTGTGGTGATGTATATACAATTCTTTGAAAAATGATTTAACTGTGGCACTGTATGAGATGTGAATTTTATATCAAGAGCACTGCTAAAAAAAGAAACCAAAGTTGACCAATTTTTACCATGGATGAGGGAGGAGGAGATTTTACTTAGGGGCATTGAGTTTACGTGAGTTTGGTGGTAGAATAACTTGGAAAAGGATATCAGTGATGGTTCCATCGCATGAAGATTATAATCAGTGGCACTGAATTATACATGTAGATGTTGTTGAATTTGAGGATTTTTATTGTGTACATTTTTGCCATCATTTAAAAAAATAATAAACTAATTTTTTTAAAGGGAAAAATAGGAAAAGAAAAGGGAGGTCAGTCACTTATAGGGCTTCCTCCATGAACCTTCTGAACAGAAGCTGATGACACTAGATGCTCCCAGAGTTCACTCAGTAGCTTCTGTTACTGAGAAGCAGCAGCGGACAGCGCACCAGAACAAATGTGCATCCATTTTTAAGTCGTTACCACCCACTACGCCACAAAGCTGTGCAGACATGGGCAACCACTCTTCTGCATGTACCCCGCTTTGTTCCACAGATAAAGGGCCTCTAGTGTTCTTCCTTGTGCAGGTGCCCTCCCCCCACCCCCACCCCGCCCAGATAGACTTAGTTAGGGGGTCTGAAAACTTCTGCTAGACATGTTCCAACTGGCCCCGCCATCAAGTGGTGATCCTCAGAGCCTTCATGGGGCACAGGGTAGATTTTCCCCACTTGACTACCCTAGGAGAGGGGTTCAGAGACCCCAACCAAGAAATGTTGGGGTCTACTCCCTAGTACAGGACATCAAGCCTCTTCAGTGGTAATTTGTTCTTAGTCTTCATCTTGTTCCCCTTTGTTCTGGGGGCCTGTTGCCAAGGTGATGAGTGGGGGACTCCCAACTAACTTACTCCAGTTTAAGCATTGCCTGAAAGATGAAGAACACTTAGATTGCTTTGGGATTCCAAGGACTATTTTCAGAATCCTGAAACAAAAGACCAGGATGCGTTCTTTGACTCATGAGCTAGATAACGCAGCATTTACCAGTCACCACTTCTCATGTGTACATCTTCGTGGTCTCTGTTACCTGATTTGTGTTGTATCAACTATAATGGTGGCCATCCATTTTCCATAAATAGAAGCTGCTGGCTTTTCCTGAGCACTTCTGTGCCAGTTGTTGTACAGTTAAGCCTCGAAATACTATTATTCCCATTGTATCCATTTGGAAAGGAAAGTGCATAGTTGTCCTTGGGGTGCACTCTGTCTTCGCAGTCCTCCTTTTAGCAGAGATGGTTCTTCCTAAGGGATGTTTTACACAGCTGTGCCTCAGAGACTCTTCCTGCATCACCACCTTCTGTAATGGAGCTTCTTTCTGCTTCTCGCCAACACAGCAGTGTATTAGTTTCTACGAGGCACTTAGGAAGTGCACGCACATTCACAGTCAGTGTGGATTCAGTAACAGGAAATTTTGTTCAGTAAGAAGTACATACTCCTTTTTAGAAATCTATATATTGTGAAAACCAGATTAATCTTTATTTCTGCACACATTCCTGGTTTTTATTCACATAGCACATAATCAGTGATGCAAAATCAGTAATTTTAAAGTCTTCTTAAAATAAGGATTGCCATTACAGCATGTACTTTTAACATATATAAATTGGTAACACCACCAGCAATAGTCAGAAGACAAGTATATAGTCACACATATGTGTGTGGTATAGGTTGTTACAACTGTATACACATATATGCACAAAAGAAAGTGTATGTGTGTGCACACAAACATATCATAGAAGGCACAGTTATAGCTACTTCTCACATATAACCAAGCAGCTTGCAAGATTGGTTTTCTAAGTTTAAAGGCTTAAGAACTTCATCTCATGGGACATCTCAGTTGATTGGCATGCTACAGCTCATAAAATGCATGTTGGCCATCCCAGTGTGGTGAGTAGTTTCTGAAGACTTGAAAGCATGCCCACTGCCACTCATGATACACCTATGGGTTACTC